CATGTTATAGCAGTCTCGAATGATGACCAAGCACATGTTCATTTAAGAACACTTTCACAGCAGATTTGACAAAACGCAAAGAAGGTACCAATGTGAGATTTCTAAGGATAGATAAAGCACTCAACCTAAGGTTTAAGAATCTGAAGTGCCTTCCAAAATCTTAGAGGGATGAGGTGTGGTGCATGCTTTCAGATGTGTTAAAAAAGCAACACTCCGATGCGGAAATTACAGAACTTGAATCACCAAAAAAGAAAAATCAACCTTCTGCTGGTGGCATCTGACTCAGATAATAAAAATGAAAATGCGTCGGTCCGCTCTGCTTTGGATCGTCATCGAGCAGAACCTGTCATCAGCATGGACACATATCTTCTGGAATGAAGCATGAAGGGACATATGAATCTTTAGCGCATCTGGCACGTACATACCTTTCAATGCCAGCTACAATAGTGCCATGTGAACGACTGTTCTCACTTTCAGGTGACATTGTAAACAAGACGTGGGCAGCATTATCTCCTGCAAATTGTAATCAAACTTGTTTTTCTGAGTGATTGGCTGAAGTAGGACTCAGTGGACTTGTAGGTTCTAAAGTTTTAGATGGTTTATTTTTGAATGCAGTTATTTTTTGTATATAATTCTACATTTGTAAGTTCAACTTTCATGATAGAGACTGCACTACAGTACTTGTATTAGGTGAATTGAAATATACTATTTCTTTTGTTTTTTAAAGTGCAAATATGTGTAATAAAAAAATAAAGTGAGCACTGCACACTTTGTATTCTGTGTTGTAACTGAAATCAATATATTTGAAAATGTAGAAAACATCCAAAAATATTTAAATAAATGGTATTCTATTATTGTTTAATCGTGCAATTGATTTTCTTAAGGTAAGCACTAAGGTAAACAATTTGTAGACAGGGATTTCATTTAACTAGGGTTACCATATTTTAATTTAAAAAAAGGACACTCCACGGGGCCCTGGCTCTGCCCCAACTCCACCCCTTCCCTTTCCCCAAAGTCCATGCCCCAACTCTGTCCCCTCCCCTGAACACTCCGCCCCCCTTCTCCACCCCCTCCCCTGCGAATCAAATGTTTGCGGGAAGCCTGAAACAGGGAGGCAGCAGGTA